AGAAATTACATAAAAATATAACTTTTAAATAGTTGATTTGATATTAACATTGATATTTTTTTTTTTAAATTTTTATGATATCTTCAATTTATATTTCATTCAAAAATAAAATCATTATTGTTTTCTTAAAAACACATAATCTATATTATATCATAAAACATTTGACAAAAACTCTTAAAAACCACTTTTTTATGCTTAAGGTACTGTTTATTAATGTATATTACTTAAAACTCAAGATTACAAGTAGATTGTACGTAAGTACAAGTTATTAAAGCTYCATATCTGAATTTGTATAACTAACTGCAGATAAACATAATCAAATACATGATAAACATCTCATTTTAAATATAAAAAATCTAAAATATAATTAAAATAATCATTGAGTTCTAACAGAATATTTAATTATTATCTTTATAAAATATTATATTATTAAACAAAAAATAAATTATTTTATTATTAAACTTAAATTAAATTATAATAAAAAAAATTAAAGAAATTACATAGAAAATGTAAACTTTTAAATAGTTGATTTGATATTGACATTAAAATAATAAAATAAAACATTAAAATCGAGATATGTCTTGCTACATTACTCTTCTAGTATTTTTTAATATCTAGAACCACCATTTAAAGTTTAACGGATACACCTTCCATACCGTAGAAAAAATCCTACCTGCAAAAATATGTTGAGCTGAGATATATAGGTTTGCTCCTGTTTCTCGGGCTCGAATCCAGACATTAATAAATCATTCATAGTCATCAAAAGGATTAATCAGTACACATAATTTGATCTGAAAATCCACATACTTTTTTTTTAGGATAATATAGTATTATAATTAAATTAATATTTTTTGTATATTTTAAGAAAACGCTGTCGCTATGAGAAAAAGATGGATTTTCTTTAAAAAAAATGTTTTATTTTCTTCGTGTTTTTGCTTTATCTCCCAAAGTCCACCAATCACACCACGTTCCACTATTTCTATTTCTATTTCTATTTCTATTTCTATTTCAAACAGAGCAGCCGATCTTCCGCCCCCGCCCACCACCCACCACTCCCAACCCCAAATTCATATATAATATGTAATATATATATATATATATATATAGAATATGTATATATGTTTGGATTAACGTGAAGCTGTATGTTTTGTGAGACTCGTGATACTTAAAAACGATACTGAAACTTCGCAGCAAAACATTGTGAAGGTAAAAAAAACTTTGAATTTTCACAACAAAAACACTATGAAATGTTTTGGTGCGAAGGTTCAATATTATTTATGCGGTCGAAAACAGTCAGGTCTCACGTGATACCAAATATATATATATATATATATATATATATATATATATATATGAGGAGTAATCATATGAAAACCGCCCTCATTTGTGTAAACCGTGCAAACCACTTTCATCTGTCGATTTCATTGTTTAATCTTGTGAAATTGTTTCATATAATACTTTTTTTGATGAAGTTGTTTCATATATGGTTGTGAAATTGTTTCATATAATACTTAATGAAACTGTTTCATGTATTTCTCTAACATTAATGAAACTGTTTCATGTATTTCTCTAACATTAATGAAACTGTTTTATGTATTTCTCTAACATTAATGAAACTGTTTCATGTATTTCTATATAATTAAAATAATGAAGATAATAATATCTATGATTAACACCTTCCACAATAAAAATGATTAATCAATCTCTCATAATTACAAAAAAATGAACAAAATGAAAAATTATGATTGGTTGAATGCGGTTTGCACGGTTTGTACAAATTGAGTGGTTTGCATTTGATCGCTCCCCTATATATATATATATATATATATATATATAAATAATGTGTGTGTGGGGGGGTAAAAAACACATACTTATTAAAGCTGATATAGCTTTCTTAAAGTTCTCACTTACATCATTAAGGAATCCAAGTGATAAACACTCCAATTCCATTCCAATCCTCCCTTCAATTCCTCCCTTAAAGATATGGAATGGAATTGGAAGATGAAAAATGGTATGATTGATGTGACTCCATTCTTGCTCTTTGAATCATCTGCTGATTCTGATGATTCCTGTACAGATGTTCATCATCACCATCATCATGAAGAACCACAACAATTACAAGCAGCAGCCATGGATGATGATGCTGAATCTTGCAGTTATGATCTTTCATTCCATGTTCATGACAAACCCCATGATACCCATCATCAAGATCATGGCTATGATGATGGTCATGTTCATGATCATGGGTATGTTCATGGTCATGATCATGATGATGATGTTGATGAGGAGGAGGAAGACATTGATGATGATGATGATGACAAAAACTGGGGTGAGAGCAAGATGATGATGATGATGCCAGCAAATCATACCACTCAAGATCAAAGATGCCATGAGTTTGTTGATTCTTCAAAATTGGATGATAGAGAGTTTTGGCAAACTTGTTTGGGTTCTTGAATTCTTTTTAAAATGGTAAAAAAGAAAGAGAAATTAAAGATGGAATCCACAAAAAGGTGTTTCATCCAAACTTCTCTTTTTCTTTCTTTCTTTTTTGGCTACTTTTTCTAAATGTTATATATGCTTTTGGCTACTTATATCTGTTTGGGATATACTGAGTTAGTTTGGTCCGAACCTTACATTTGTGTGGGATACATTGAGTTAGTTTGATTTCTAATGTTTTACTGTTAACAAAAACTGTACAAAGATACTTGTTTTGTGTTAAAGTCGTGCACCTGCTAGACTCGGACCATTGTTTTTATATATGTTGGAACCACCTTTTCTTTCAGAGGGGTTTCTTTCGGAAAATAATCTAAAGACTCTGCATATACTTGCACAAGGCCTAGGATTTTTCAGGGCTGGTTTTGGAACTTCCAAGCCCGTTTTCCGTGAAAAAGGGTCAGGTTTTTTCAAGGAGGGCTTAACTTAGCTTTTACATGTTTTTTTTCTAGTCGGGATTTTATAGGGCGTGCCTAGGCAATAGGCATCAGTCAGGGTTTAAGGCCACTCACATGGTATCAGAAACATCTACCACTCTAAAGACTCAACACTCTGACAACTTGTGCTCGTCTAGCGCTTTCTGTTCACAAGGGTTCTTTTGGAGAGTAACCTAAGGAGTCTCATATATACTCACGTGATATCAGAGCCAAGGTCTATCACTTTAAAGACTCGATACTTTGAGGCAATTTGTACTATTCTAGACCCCTCTTGACACTCTTAGCTCCGTTTGGAAGGGGCGTGTTAAAGTCCAACATCAGTCAAACTTGGACGAGTTCTCCTCTATGTATGTTGAAACCACCTTCTGTCCTTAAACACTCTTTTGTAAAGTAATTTGATGGAATTCCACATATTCTCACATTTAATATCAGTTCTCTACAAGAAAAGATCTTAAAACAAGGAGTTAATATTGAAGATTTGTGCAGTGATTGCTAAATGTTTTCAAGAATGAGTCAGCTGGGCAAATTCAGTTCATACATTCCATTTTTGCCATTTTCACTTTCTTTAGAAACCCGACTCACACCACCCGACACGCACCCATCGCTCATGACCAACGATTCCTCTCGAAAATCATATCCGCTAGTCGGGTCGGATCGTGGTGTTACCGTATGATCATCCCATTCTTTCTTGAACCGATCTTTGGCGGGTTTGTTCTCCTTCGTTTGTTTCAAGAAACTTTCTTCTATCTCACCATCTACACTATTGCCACAAAGATCATAACGGATGTGTTCATCGTTGTCGTCTTCTTCGGATTCGGATGACCCCCGTCTTCTAAGATCGCAACTAGTTTGGATCTCTTCTCGACAGTTGAATTCCTCGTTGGTTGTGTTCTCTTTGCGTTCTCTTAGCGTTTTTGTGATCAAGGTTTTGAGCAAATTCATCACTTGAACCGCATGCATTAGAGCTGTTAATGGGTCCGACATCTGACCGAGAAATGGAATTCAACAGAAAAAACGTCATTATGATATTTGGAGGGTTGGATACCGTCACCAATAACTAAATAATAGTATTTGATCTAACGGTCAGATGTTTTAAAACATGTATTCAGTAAATCTTATACAACTAACTGTTTATATGTTCATAACAATCTTATGCTAAATAGTAGTCTTTTTTACCTTAAAAGTCAACACTTACATCTTTTTTGATACAACACAACCACAAAGGATCAATTAGAGTTGTTCATGGACCAGACGACTCGTTAGACCCAACCCATCGGGATCGTTAAAAAAGAAGGATTCGACACCCATTCTCAAAAAAAGGGGTGGATCCAGACTCCGGACTAACAGGCTAAGATTACAAGGCGGAAATGGACCATCAAAATTCAAACAGGCCCGTCCGGCCCATTAGATATTTTTATAATTAATTAACTTTAGGATTAAAATTTCGGAGGGCCTCCCGATTCCGAATTCCCAATTTTCCGTATACGTAGCTCTTGACCTGACCTCAGATCTCAAAAGAAAAAATAAAGAAAATTGTTTATTTTGAATGATTTTACCGACATTATGTTATTCTAAAAGGCAAAAGACTTTTTAGTTCCGTTAGTCCGTAGGACCGTTTATAGGGCGGATACCGGCAAGTTATCAAGCCGCAAAAAAGGGACTTGGGTTAACTATATTAGGCCTGTGGGTTGGGTCCGGCCCATCAGGCCCAAGCCTGTAAATGATCACCTCTAAGATCAATGGCTTGCAAACATCAAACATAAAGATGAAATAGGATTTACCTGAGTCATGTTTGGGGCAAAAACCATGGCAATATTTCTGGCATTCATTTTATTGGATTCTTCGTGTTGGGCAACATCCGACATAAGATCGATAGCCCAATTGAGCAATGCGGTCTCCGTGGGTTTGAGCTGTTTAACGAGCTCAACGCGCTCATCTTCTGTATTACACTGTAAAACCTCATCAGGAGAAAGCCCATCAAGCACGCCACACGGAAGCTCCCTGAACCAAGCTTTTATTAAACCGGCTAAACAATGAACCTCGATGCCTTCAGGCACCATGCCTCTGTTTAGCTGGTCTCTCACCCGCTCCTCTTGGCTGTTCTCTGGGTTTATTCGGAAAATTCCTTCTGCCTATAAAACCAAATTTCAACGGAAAATACAGTTGGTCTTGATTCATGACGAGGGCATATAAGCAACAAAATATGTGTAACCCCATTAGATTACTGTCTAGCCACTAAGGAGAGAAGGGAGGTTAGAACATATATTACGTTTCAATTCTAGCCGATGTGAGACTCTAACATATATTATGGTCGGCTCAACTGGCAAAGAAATGTTAGATCTTGGGGCTCTTCCCCATAGATCGTCAATTTGAGTCTCCTCAAGGCTGCTAGAAAAATGAGTTTCCTGCCTGTTATCTTCAGGGCCCATGGGATTAGTCGAGGTATGCACAAGCCGACCAGGCATCCACAGATACATAAAGAAAATGAAAATTGTGGGATCCCATGGGGCTCACGGTCTCATGCATATAGTGTAACTAAGGCACTAGTGTGACAGGATAGAGCATGTAGATTCCATAATCAATATTCATCGTGCAAAATTCCACAATAGATGGGTAGGTGCTCCATTAATGGACGTGGATCAATATTTGCAAAGAATGAAACTTTCCAATTTTAATGGACATCCCAATATCCTACAATGGAAATAAAAGCAATTCCCATCGGGTGGGGTATTTACTATAGGATAGTCTGAAAACTCGTGTGGAATCCCATGGGGATCAAATCACATGTCCCCAAACTCCATATCCCCTTCTTGTCCCACCAAACAACCCTTTTTTGTTATCTCTCTTCAATGAAGTAATGATGTGTCAGTGGTTGATTGTGGACAGATGGGGCATGGAGTTTGGGGACAGGTGATTAATACTCGTGTAAGGGGATAGGGCTTCCACAAGCACTATTCATTATGTGTGAGATTCTACAGAAGCTATCTATTTACATGTGGTATACCTTTAGACCTCCGTGAGCATATAACCGTTCTTGCATGAGCAAGAGAATTGTCGGCACACTGTTGCCTCTTGAATCATACGAGCACTGCATCGATTCTGCTGAAACGCCAAAAACACTAGCACTACACAACAAGAATAGACACGTCAGGAGCATGATCAGAGTACTAAATGATTGCTGGCTCAGCGGTACCCTTGTACCTGTAGAACCCATCCTCCTGGCCTCCCAGAAGGTCAAGGGTTCATACCTCACCAAAGATGAGAAGTGTGTGTGTGAGTTTGTGCAGTGCATAATTATTATATACTTCAAAAATAAACATGATTAGAGTATCAAATCATATGTCCATGACATATTGGCATTATAATGCAAAACCATTTTGGCATGAGCGATTATAGAGTAAAAGTTATGCATTTGGACCTCGATCCCAAATTTAGAAAGAAAATTTCTGTAACAAGTTGTAAATCGTTATCATAATTGAAGTTCAAATATAACTAGTTTCACATACAAAGCTAAACCTCAGCTGTTTCCATTTGAATGAATAGTGTGCATACCAAATTTCCCAATTGTCAGTCAATTAAAATGTAAACCCCCAAATTATTGAACTTTGGATTCCCATTTTTACTATTTTCTTGGGGATCAAACAGCAGGAGGGTCCCAGTTTGTCATTTACTGCTAAGAAATTTGACCAGTTTGCACCGTGTTCTGCTGTGAATGAACTCATAAACCCTAGATTCCCAACCATTTACAGAAATTTAAACACAAATATGTAACGCATGTGCATTTAACAAAGCTGTGTGTCAACTTATAGAAGTGGATTCTATAATTTATATCAGCCAGAAAATTTGAAATCTAGAGCAATTTGTGTTTGAAAAATGATTAATTAGTGGAAAGTAATCGATCCAACAAAGAAGCATTGTATATGGCACCTGGCACTGGGGACTCGACAGGGGATTTCAACTTGGAACTCAACAGGAAGACCTAAAAATCCGTGGAATCGATCAAAGGTAACATGACTCAGATGTTGCACATCCGTCGGCCATCCAATTTCCATTTGATGAATAGCTGATGATTTCGATTCTTCTCTTTGATCGACTCGGCAAGCCGCCATTGATTTTCTCAGAGCTGCTATGAGGAGCTCGAGTACGGAGATGTGGTTCTGGTGTTGTTTGGAAGAAGCTTCTTCTGTCGTTCCATTTTCACTACGACCACCACCACCACCACAACCGCCGCCGCAGCCGGTTCCTCTTGGTACAACCACCACTCCTGCCATCTCAGTAACACACTTGTGGTTCAAATCTCTGTATAACAAGGTGCGGATTGCGTTGAAAAAAGAGAGATTTTGAAATTGAGTGGTGTGTTGATCATATCCAGACAGGAATGAAGTTGGTTTGAAGTTCCAACCACCCTCCGGCCACCCTTTTCTTTTTCAAATTTCTTAATGCATCCTCTGCTTGACTATTCGTCTTAAACCTGGAATCTTTCCAATTTTATGTAGGAGCCCCAAAATTAGGTGCATCACCCAAAAAAAAAAAAAAAAAATTTATCAACAATTATCTCTTACCGATTCAGATGTTATTTTTTAATAGAATTATTAAAAGGGAAACAAACATGAGATTTTCATTCTTAAATACACATTAAGATGAAATGCACCGAATCAATCCATATAAAAACGATTTATTGGTGGGTTTTGAGATTAAAGGGGATCAATCCATATGTATATACACACACTCGTGTGATGTACAACAGTAACCCAAATAAATCATGTAAACTTACAAATTAATTTTATATATTGTTTCACGTATGAAAATATAATGTTGTTGGTGTGAAAAAAATGATTCTGAACATATAAACACTATATTTTCACGTATTTTATATTATATTATTTTTAATATATACATATATAGAGAGAGAGAGGGAAAGATGTTTGATCAAATGTAAACCACTTAATTTGTACAAACCGTGCAAACCACCCTCATCTGTCGATTTCGTTGTTTAATCTTATGGAGAAAAAAAATTCATGAAATTGTTGCATATAATACTTTTTTTGATGAAGTTATTTCATATGTGGTTATGAAATTGTTTCATATAATACTTAATGAAATTTTAATGAAACTGTTTCATGTATTTCTCTAAAATTAAAATAATAAAGATGATAATATTCATGATTAACACTCTCTATAATAAAAATGATTAATCAACCTCTCATAATTACAAAAAAAATGAACAAAATGAGAAATTATGATTAGTTTAATGAGGTTTGTACGGTTTGTACAAATAACGTGGTTTACAAAGTATATCTCCTCTCTCTCTCTCTCTCTCTCTCTCTCTATATATATATATATATATATATGTACATATAGAGAGAGATAGACGAAGGATCGTGTGAGGATGAAGTTAAAGTGAGAAGTATAAGAAGATGTTTGGATATTTGATCACCTTTTATCTCAAACCAACTAATGAATTGCACTTTAGAAGAAAATTGATTTGGTGTTTCTCATTACTGTTGATCTAGTGAAGATCTTCAATTATGATTGATTCAATGATGAAGATATTCTTCTACTCTTCTCACCATAACTCTCCCTCTCGGCATAACCCAACCATGTATATATACATATATAAACTTGGGATCATGTGACTTGTGAGACCAAGGGTTTTTCGTGAGACCCGTAAGACCAATTCTCAACCATTTGATTAAATCTACAATTTGACAATCTGAACTTTCATAAACGCCACGAGACTTCTCAATAATCACAAAATTGTCACCGTGCAACTTTAGAACATTAGATCATTGGCTTATAAAGTTGATCAATGAACATAAATTGGTCTTACGGGTCTCACGAAAAAAACTTTGGTCTCACGTGAACCCAACCATATATATATATATATATATATATATATGTGTGTGTGTGTGTGTGTGTGTGTGGAGTTCAAAATACACACAATCTATTTAGTACAAAACAATACAAACCGAACAAATGACACATTTATTGAAATAATAAGAGTTATTTATTATGATTTGTATATTTGTGGAAGATGATAATAATTCATTTTTTATTAGTAAAGTTTTAGATCATGAAACAGTGAAGATACTTATGAAACCATATATTTATTAGGCTAAATGAACGGTTAATATTAGGTTGTATGGTTTGTACTGAAGAGATATTTGTATTTGAAACTAATTAATTACCTATATATACATACATATATATATATATAGAGAGAGAGAGGTGAATTATTACGCAACCATTTACATTTGTATAACCAATACAACTCAATTTCAACCGTCCATTTAATTTGATGAATATGTGATTTTATAAAAGTTTTGATTGTTTTCTGATATAAATTATTGATCATAATTAATGAACCTTAGTCGTTTTCCATAAATATTCAAATCATAATAAATGAATTTTCATCATTTCTATAAATATCTCAATTGATTGAGTTGCATTGGTTGTACAAATATGATGAGTTGCATTTGAAACATCTTATCTCTCTCTCTCTCTCTCTCTCTCTCTATATATATATATATATATAGCAAATGATCGTGTGAGAAAAAAAGTTAAGGTAAGAAACGTAAGAATAGATTTTTGAACCCTTGATCACTTCTGATCTCATACTCATCCATGAATTGGAGTTTAGAAATGAATTGATCCGGTGCATCTCGATACACCTCATTAGTGTTAACATTCAATTATGATTGATCTAATAACAAAGATCATTTCTTACGCTTCTCACCATAACTTCACTTCTCACCAAAACCTAACCCTATATATATATATATATATATATATATATATATAGTTATATTCATACGAGAACAATACTCAGATAAGAAAACACAAAAATGATCGAATCGCATGTGATTTTACACTAAATTCACATATGATTCAAGCGACTTAGCCGCGACCCAAAACCATGTCGCCCCTGCATTGACTGTGTTTCATGATTTGCATGTAAGATGACATATGAAGTGGTTACTATTATATATGTATTGATGAGTAATCAATGATGATGAATTGAATTTAAAGAATATGTTATCATGTTTTCGTTGAAGAATACCCATCAAGTTAATATTCTAGAGGAATCACTACGTAATTTTCATTGAATCAATAATCAAACAACCATGAGGCATCACACTCATATTTTTTATTGTTAATTTGATGATGGTGTATTTTAATATTGTTGTACATATATTTTCACACACATATATATAAAGATTTGAGATCACGTGAGACCAACATGTTTTTATAAGATCCGTAAAAACATTTTTTTACACTTGAAATTCTACAGGAAAGCGCTGTGAAGGTAACCTTCACATTGTTTTTGCTGTGAAGGTTCGGTGTTTTTTACCTTCATTACGGGTCTCATGAAAACAGACCGATCTTACGTGAACCCAACCCTAAATAAATATATATATATAGAGAGAGAGAGACGACAAGATTGGATATATAAATGAAATTTTGAACTTATTTTTCTCAGGACGATTGCAAGATATATTTTATTGATGTATGATACTATATTATAAAAATTAATGGTTGTAAAACTTTTTGAATGATTTTGTATCATGGGTATTCCTTAGCCATTCAGCACCTTAATTTTATTGTAAAGAATTACCAAACAATTATATTTCATTTTGCACTATATCATGAGAGCCTATTAATTAGGGGTGTTCAAAAAAACCGTTGGACCGCTCAAACCAGCTGAACCAAGTCAAACCGGATCGTTTTTGGCGGTTTGAGCGGTCCGATCTGGTTTGGAAAATAGTAAAACCGGGCGGTCCGGTCTGCGATCTGGAACCTTTTTTGGGCGGTTTGGACCAAACCGACCGCCAAATATATATATATCTATACTATATTATAAAGCATTTGGCTAAAACTCTTAAAAACTCTTAAACTCTTAAAACTCTTAAACTTGTTCATCCCTA